GCCGGCAACCCTTTCGGTTGAGTGTTATCCTGACCCTTGGTCAAGCATGTTTGTTGGCTCTGACGATGTCCGGTCACGCAAGACGCGCGAAAGGTCAACACGGGCTTGTCGGGCTCTCAGGGTGGTGCGCCATTGGCCTGTTGGTACCAACTGCAGAGAAATCGTGTCTCGTTTTCTTGGGCGACACTTTCTAACTAACTCACTTGCACGCGCCCCTTGAAAGGAGATAGAGGCTTTTAAAAAGAGTCACTTAATCGTGAGTTCGAGGTAACTTCATTTCGGCCGACAAGGCCAGGACATGTGAAAGAGGCAAATCAGTGTCCCTTTCTAACTCCATTAACTTACAGTTTTCTTCCAAACTTTCTTGACCATGTTGCCAGGTAGCAAAACGGTCATCCATCAGAGTCGCATGAGGTTGGACCGAGGTCTTCTTCCTACAATTCTGTTTTCCCATCTCCATGCCAATTGCCATTCAGCTTCCAGTTAAGCCAGTTTACACATACTTTCTATTCGTCGATTTGAACGAAATGAAAGCTGCACTCGCCTCAGTTCTGATTCTGTCTGAGGCAGCATTTTGACAACTTTGGCTCAGTGTGAGAAAGTGTTCATTTTCTCGACGAGACTATGTCAAATGAGGAGAATATCCGGCTTCCGCACAGTTTCATCCGGCATCCTAAATTACATACAAAGTTGTGGGCTTGTATGAAGAATAGAGATTACAACAAGAGATGTCTGAAAGACAGGTCCGACAACCAGAGGGTGTCGGTTAAAGAATTGTTAGCTTAAAATGAAGAATGCTGTGTTGCTGTGTACTGGATGGGGGAACTGGTGACCGAAATGTGTTATCGATTCTGTGGATCTCGCATGCCGGGTTGTGATGCTGGTACCGTGGCGTCTGGAGAACTGGAGTGATCAACGCAACGGACAAGAAGATGAGCTCATTTCCATTTCGAGAGAAACTGTGTCTGATGAAGAGCTTCGAAAGTCGATGCGATCAAAAAAACGACGGCGAGCTCCTCTTGACAAGCCGTAGATTGGGTTGTTTTTTCTGGAAAATTCTTGCTGAAGCTCTCACAATTCCAGTTAAAGCATTCTAAGCTCTTGTATTGGCATACGATGAACCAGATATCATTCACGTAACCATATTCAAACCAACTAGTAAAGACAACTCACAGATTTAGTTCGCTCTTTCTCTCTGTCTCTTTCTCCCACACACACATGCAAGCCAAAATTTCCCAAATTTATTATGACTCGACTTTCCATTTGAAACGAAAAGTTGGTTGGATGGAGGGAAGATTGCTTAGGATTTTGCGAATAAGTCCTATGACTCCGAGGAGCCCATACCTACATGTAGCCATAGCAACACATTACATCACAAGCCCATCTCTCAGCGGCATCGAGAGCCCGTCTACTTGCTGGTGTATCATTTGCCGCTTCGCCTCCTTGTCGACATGACGATAAGAAGTAACATCTGGTTGGTTAGAAGTTTGCTACGAAGAGAAACTTGGTTTCGATGAATCTCCTGAGATAACATTGTTAGGGGGACCTTCATTTCGAAT